TTTGTTTGTTTGTTTTCATTCATGAGGCCTAAACTCTGGGCCTGGGCTCTGTCCCTCAGCTCTTCAGCTCAAGGCTAGTGCTCTACCACTTGAGCCACAGTGGCACTTCTGGCTTTTTCTACTTATGTGTTGCTGAGGAATCAAACCCAGGGCCTCATGCATGCAAGACAAGCACTCTACCATTGAGCCATCTTCCTAGCCCCACCAAAAGTTTCTTTTAACAGGATAATAGCCCCCCAACCAGGACACCACCTGGGAACAAGTAAGGCCATCCTATTACTACAGGCAATCAGAGATTTCACTTACACTGTCCTGCCTTGCCCAGTTCAGACTTGGACCCTAAAGACCCCAGCTCCAGGGCTCCTCAACATTCCCAGGCCAGCAGGAAGTAGCCAAAGTAACCCATGACACCCATTGGCTCTGGTACCTTGAAAATCTCTGCTACCTCCCCATTAGGTTACTGTTATCCTAAAGTAGGAAAAGTCTTACTCCTCTGCTAGGGTGTGGAGAGGCAGATGCCATGCTATGTCTCCAATCTGAGACAGAAAAGGCAATCTCAGGTCTTTGCTAGCCTCTTCTGGGAATCAGTCTCTCCCTAGCTTGTTCTACTCTTGGGCTGCTAACAGCAATTTTTGCCTTTTACTAACTGTGCCTTGCATTTTAGATAACTATTGTCATTGAAAAGATGAGGATCTTTACCAACCAAACTGTCAAGCAAATGCTTCTGGGATGGTATCTGACCAAGCAACAAATCAGGGACCCCTGACTATTTTGCCCCTTTACAGCAGGAAGTAGCTTTAGAAGAAATGATCTCCGTCCATACCCCCGGGCTGGTACCCCTAGCTAATATTTTTATTAAACAACAAAGCTGGGAATGTTAGTATTATCCCCACCTGTGGTCCTCAGCCTTCTCAGTCCTGAGCTCCTCCCGGCCCTAGAGTTCCTGCCATACGGCTGGCCTCTCTGGACCCAGACCCACGTGCACACACACATACCTCAATACCTGTCCCCAGACTCACTTGCCACTTTGGATAGGGACAGACACCATGTGCTCCTTTTCCTGGGAAATATGACCCCTATGATAAGCCTTAAAATAATCTCTCTCCTGTGCCTGCTTGCCTCTGCATGGTCCCTGGGATGGTTGTAAAGGATTACAAGGACAACCAAAGGAAGCTAAGCCTTTGAAGCACAAATCAGGAATTCCTTCAACCAGTTCTGTAAGTGGAGCTGAAATAGTCCTGATGCTCTAAGTCCTATAGGGCTCAGCTTGCTCTCTTTGCACTTTCAAGGAAGGACAACTCACACCAAAGAAGCAAAAACATCAAAAAAGTGGGCTCTCCTGCCAGTGGAAATGTGGGTAGTGTGTGTTTAGCAGGTTGAAGTTCTTAAAAAGTAAAGATTAGTGGCTCACTCTTGTAAACCTACTCAGAAGGCTGAGATATGAAGATCATGGTTCAAAAACAGCCCTTGGCAGGGAAGTCTGTGAGACTCTCCAATTAACTAGCAAAAGATGGAAGTGGAGCTGTGGCTAAAGTGGTAGAGTGCTAGCCTTGAACAAAAAAATAGCTCAGGGACAACCCACAGCCCTGAGTTCAAGCCCAAGGAATAGCACACACACACACACACACACACATACACACACACAGAGAGATAAATAATACTCTTAAGAATAAGCAATTCCATTGATGTATACTGGAAACAGATGATGTGTGATTAGACAACACCATTTTGGTTGTTTCCATTCTGTTGCTATCACTACAACTAAAACTCTTTCTTGAAGGGAGGACAAAGGTTTAAGTCAGCACTGATTTATGATTGTACCAAAGCACTCAGTGCATCACTGTTGTTTTCTTAAGCTGTTGTTAACACTTCATTTTAGAAAAAAAATTAAGTTGCTAAATGTCCTTAGCAAAGTCATAGGACTAAAATAAATCCATATAAAAACAGAAATTTAAATTAAAAATAAATTCCACTTATATTTATATGAAACATTCAGGGATAATTAAAACAAACTATGTATACAAATTATCTATACTACTATGTATAGAACTAGAAATCACTTCACAGAGAATTTAAAGTCTAAATGAAAAGAGAGAAAATATTATGAATTATAAGAATAAATACCACTAAGGTTTCATGTAGAACTAAGCATGTTAATGTATTTAAATTTTTAAATGAGCAGCAATGAGACTGAAATCTAACTCTTCCAAAATAATACAAACCAAAAGACAAGAGAATACAATACACAGAAGGAAAATAACTACTCATCTAGTAATAAAATTTTCAAACAACAAAAAATGAACAGATGTCACCAACAGAAACTCAATATAGATGAAATTTTTAAAGACAAACTTCAGAAAGGCAGAAGAAAAAAGGACTCTAGGGAAGCTCTGAAATACAAGAAAGAATAATTGCAAACAAAAATTAACTGTATAAAAAGAAGTAATACTGCAGTAATAATATCACCTAATAAGGAGTTAAAGTAGAAATTAAAACACTACCAACTTCATTATGTAAATTGGGGACATGATTGTGACGTGGCACATGGTAAGTGTTTTGAGGTCTTAATTATCAATGTTGAACAGTAAAGATTTTGTTTTCCTTTACATACAGAATAATTTTAAATTGCTCACTTAGTATATCTGAAGCAGAAGAATGCTCCTGCAAAACCCAGAGAAACTAAAAATGAGCTGATAATTCTATACATGCTTGTTGCCTGAAGGTATTTGCTGATTCTTTCACTCAGGACAAAAGTATCCGAATTTGGCCTTTTCAAAGGGCTATTGTTAGTAAACAGAGAAACTAGCTTTAGTTTTAGAGATTTTGCCTAATTGTAGGACCTCAATCTCTATTTTTTCCCCTAAGACATTTGCTTAATGTTGAAACTACATGATGGCAGTTAAAAGCTAAGTGGAGAGTTTTTGAAAGCAAGGTAAAGGTGCTAGCAAGCTTATAAAAACAAAGAAATAAAGGCTACTGTTCAGGATCTATGAAGTAAGGAGGCTTTCCACCTGGAGGCTGACCCTTACTATAAATACTTAGCAGAGAAAAAGAAAACAACATTGTCCACTGCCTCTATGCTTTCTATACACAATGTCTGACATTCTATCAAAAATTACTAAGATAAAAAAGTTACTAAAATTATTCTGAGACACTAAAAACCAAACTTCATCTTTCATTTATAATACAATTAATAATTATCTTAAATGTATCAGTTGAAATACCAGTGAAATAGTTCTGTAAATGTGACATTTTTCACTGACAGAATGGCAAATAAACTCTTATTTACTATATTTATAAACTCACTGCATGAATAATTCTTATCCTTCACATATTACAATTATATACTTTTCATTAACAAAATACTCAGTAAATCTTACTATAAATCTATTTAGTTATCAGCACATCTACTCTGGCTTTTTTTTTCCTTTTCATTGAAATGTATAGTTCCAAAAGTGACTGCCAGTATTAGTAACTGAAGTTTCTATTCTGTTCTATTCTATTCTAAACCTACAAACATCTTTCTTTCTACACATTTTGTTTCTCTTACCAAAGTAAAACATATATTAAATTAAAATAGTCTATTAATGAATCTGGAAATTTCTGATAAAACATATTTCAAATTAAAAGTCTATTAATGAATCTGGAAAATTCTGACAGTACAGAAATGGCTCATAAATACCAGCAGTGAAAAGCAAGTAACCTTTGTTCTACTTTGCAAATACAAGACCTTTGCACATTCAACTACCCACATACAGATAGTTTCCATTTGGATTAAAGAATAATAACGCCAGTGATCAAAAGAATAACCTTAATACTATAATTTTTTTTAGACAATGAAAAACAATGTGAAAACTATGAAGTTCTACATTAATGTAATGTCATTATTAAGTACTATAATCAAAGCTTAGAATTTTTTAAGTATTTTCAAGTAATGCCTATAACTTTGCTACTTTTAACAGGATAAAATAAAAAATTATTCTCTATGTTAGTGTCTAAGATAACCCAAATTCAAAATCTAACTATAAAAATAGTATATTATCCTCTTTTATAAATGTCTTTGATATTTCTCTTTATTTTTAAGATGTATATTGTTTTTAACAGAATAAGATCCCAAAGTAATAATCAAAATGTCATGAATTGGTTATACGGAGAATTATGGAATTTCAGGCCTAGTAAGAGTCCATTGTAGCTATAAAATAAGGTTTTTCTTTGGGAGTTATTTGTCTTTTTGTGCCAGTCTTGTGGCTTGAATTCGGAGTCTGGGCTCTAATTCTGCATTTGTTTGCTCAAGGCTAGCTCTCCACTGATTAAGCCACAGATCCATTTCAGGTTTTTTGGTGATTAATTGGAGATAAGAGTTTTATGGACTTTCCTGCCTGGGCTGACTTTGAACTGCAATCCTCAGATCTCAGCCGCCTGAGTAGCTATTTTCACAGATGTGAGCCACTGGTCCCCAGCTTAAAGTAGGGTTTTAACAACATAATTCTTATAATTTCTTTGAGTTGTATATGAACCTGTATGTTTTTAACTACATGACCACATTGATTATAGCATGATTATAGCAAAAATTTCATATAAATCAATGATTATAAGAAAAGTAAGTACTCTGTAAAAGTTGCAAGTGTTGGGTTACATTTACACTATCTGGCTTAAAATATATATAGAAGATAAAATTGAGTACAATATCAGAAACAATAACTTAATTAGCTAAGTTAAAATAGTCTACTAAGTTAGATATGGTGGTATACACCTGTAGTCCTAGCACTTGGGAAGTTAAGGCAGGAGGACTCCAAGTTCAAGGCCAGCCTGGGAGATTATGAATTTGGAAAATTATCCCAGTACAGTAATTACTCTTGTAAGTTCCAATAGTGAAAAGCAAATCATTTGTGCTACTTGCCAATAGGGAACCATGGCATATTCATGACTATTCATACAAAAAGTTAGTTTCTGTTCACAAAAAGTCACAGTATATATAAGTGGTCAAAATGTATCCTCACCTTGTAAAAACTCCTCCTTGCAGGCAATGGAGTAGAAGAAAACAATTTTGACTTTCTTGGTCTGCTGTTTTTAAATCATCCTTAAACCAAGTATAACTAAAACACTGGACCACAAGAGTTCCAAAAAGCATGAAGCTTAATATTAAAACACCAGAAACATATTGTCCTTCATGGAAAAACCTAACAGATGCACAGATGTCCACAATTAAATCAGCTATATAGATTATAATGCCAAGAACTGACATCATAAAATTGCATTTTGTGTATTTCATTATGAATGACTATAGTCCTTGGCTTCCTGGCTATCTCCTTTCTTCCTACAAAAAATGTTTTTAAATGCTGGAACAAGTACCAGTGCACCCTTTGGCACAGCACTAGATTCTAATTTTGATCCCTAAATCAGTTTAGAAACTGAATTTTATGAAATTGGAATACTAAAGCCAAAAGTTAACTTTTCTAAATCTCTAATCCAGTTCCAATGCTGTAAGGCCTCACTCAATCTTCTGTTCCTCAATTATCTTCATTACAGATGAAAATACCTAAGATGAAACAAAAACAATAAATCTCTAAAACTTGTAAATATAAATATTTATACTTGAGTTTTAAAGTATAAAGATTTATTTACACTAAAGAATTAGATTATACTTATGTAAAAATTACCAGTTTATAAATGGTTAATTATAATTATATATAATTATAAATTATAAGTTAGTTAATATTTAAGTATGCATTTAATAAAAGCTCTATTTTTCCTAAATATATTATCATACATATAGTTATTATATTGGGAAAAGTAAGTCTTAGTTATTATATTGGGAAAAGTAAGTCTCAGAAATATATTTGTAGCTAGGAAACAAATTATGATACATCCATAATAAAGGGTATAGCACGTGTCCTTTAAAAAGGATGAAGTAGCTTTTAACTGCCCTCAGGTCTCTAAGATATATGAAGTGAATACAGTGAGTACTAGAAAGATAAAAACAGCATTTCTAACTTCATAAAGAATTTCAGTGACTAGAGGAAATGTATATACAACTAATGACCTTTAACATTTATTTAGCACTTTGACTCTGGCACTGGCAAATGTATAAAATGTCCTCATTTAACTAAATTTAGGATATAAATATTATTATTGTGAATCGTATTATCTAAACATGTGCTGAGCGTAATCTGTAGACAAGATTTGTCTGACACAGTATTTGTTTCTGTCAACATTTCACCAAAAAAAAAAGATTTCTGTCAGCTATTAAAAATTAAAAGATCTGCTATTCTACACTACTATTTCTTCATAAACAATGACAGCTACCTATTTCCTTGAAACATAGAAATAATAATGGAGTTATTGTGAAGATTAAGAGTTCTTAATCTTGTATGAATACAGTATGTATGGTTTGTGATCTGACTTTACTTTATATAATGTTAAATGTAAAAGCACTAGGATATGATCTCAAAGCTTTGAAATCACAAAGGAAATATGACTAGAGAATTTTTTAAGGCAAAAGACCTACACTATCTAAAAAGGAACTTGATGCATTGTAATTATAAACTGACATGTTGAATTGAAACCCCTTTGTATGACCACTTGAAGTTTTGTTTTGTTTTGGGGGGGTCTGGTCGTGGGGCCTGAACTCTGGGCC